AACATCGCTAGCTTGCCTAAACACTTTGAAGAACTACTTATTTATATGCGTGATGAACCTTTCGATATATTGACCTTAAATGAAACTAGATTAGACAGTACTTTCCTAGACTGTGAAGTACAGATACCTGGTTATGATATTGTCAGATCTGACCGAAACAGACATGGGGGAGGGGTAGCTATATATATAAGGACTATCATTCTATATATCGTACGTGAAGATTTATTACAAGATACTCTCGAATTGCTTTGTATTGAAGTTAGAAAACCTAAAAGTAAACCAGTGCTTATTTCAACTTGGTATCGACCACCGAGTGCAAAAATTGAATTATTCCAAAAGTTCGAAAACTTCTTGAAGCAGATTGATAATGAAGACAAAGATATTATCATAACCGGGGATCTTAATTGTAATTTTATTGAGCACACTCAAAACCAAGCTACTTCTAAGTTAATTGATATTATTGATATTTTCCAACTGCAGCAACACATACAAACCCCTACTAGAACTACTTATAATTTTTCGTCTCTGATTGATTTAATTCTTACACATATCGACGATGATAAAACCTTAGAAGCCGGGGTTGTTGACCTTGGGATTAGTGACCATAGTCTTGTTTATATATGTCGGAAAATTAGCATTCCTAAAGAGCCACCAAAAATTGTATTTACACGACAGTTCAAAAATTACAACTCCCACCAATTTAAAGAAGAGCTAAGCTACTATACTAATCTAGATCCCACATCGAATGATCCAAATGTGCTATGGAATGAATTTAAGAACAACTTTCTTACTATTGCTGAAAAACACGCGCCAGTTAGACAGCGTCGCGTTAAGAGTGAGCATAAACCATGGCTGACGAAAGAAATAAAGCGTTTAATGCATCATAGGGATTATCTTAAAAGACAGAGTGTTCGTTTAACATCGAGTAATTATAACGAGGCCTACAAAAGATGCAAGAATAAATTAAGTAAGCTTATTAAAAAGACTAAGGAAGAATACTTTAAAACGAAGTTATCTAATGCAAATAATAGCAAAGAGAGTTGGCAGGCTATTAATGAGCTATTAAACAAAAAGCCCAAAACTACCCATGTAACACAGCTAAATGTAGATGACCAAGTTATAACTGGAGACACAAATATTGCGGACTGTTTTAATCGGTATTTTTCATCCATCGGTTGTAAACTGTCGAAAAATGTCCAAAATATTAATGTTGACCCTATGACATTTGTCACTCCTACGGAGAGTTCGTTTCATTTTTCATGTATTTCAGTCCAAGAGACTTTTGACGCCTTAAACCAACTTAATTCAAGGAAATCACCAGGACTGGACAGCATAAGTGTAAAACTATTAAAAGATACAAGCGATGTTATCGCGCAACCATTAGCCAACATCTTTAATCTATCTCTTCAGACTGCAATTTTTCCGGACGAGTGGAAAATCGCTAAGGTATCACCAGTCTTTAAAGAAGGGAATAAAACTGATTGCGGAAATTATAGACCAATCTCTGTAATTTCTGTGGTTGCTAAGCTGTTTGAAGGGCTAGTGTACAATCAATTGAGAACGTTTATTGCCGACAATAGCATTCTTGTAGAGCAACAGTCCGGTTTTCGTTCACAGCACTCTACTGAGACGGCACTCTTAGGTTCGACAAATGAGTGGTTATATAACATGGACAGTGGCTTAATCAATGGAGTCCTATTCTTGGACTTGAAAAAAGCTTTTGACACTGCCGACCATGAAATCTTATTAAAGAAACTTCACCTATACGGCATAAAAGGAACTACTTACGCATGGTTTGAATCTTACATCCAAAATAGAAAATCGATTTGTTTAATGAATGGGAAAAAATCACATGCTAGAGAAATTAGGTGTGGGGTACCACAAGGTTCTAACCTTGGCCCCATCCTATTCCTCTTGTATATTAACGATCTACCTAAGTGTCTAGAAACAACCAAGGCTAACTTGTTTGCTGATGACACAAATCTTTCATGTGCCGGCTTAGATGCCAATGAAATCGAGACTAAACTTAAAAGAGATCTTGAGAATGTTCATAGTTGGCTTAGATGTAACAAGCTCACGCTAAACGATAGCAAAACGGAATTTATGATAATTGGCTCTAGACATCATCTTACTAAATTTGAAGACAACCCAGAGATTTCATTAGCCATACGAGATAATAATATTAAACGGGTCACCAATAAAAAATCTCTTGGTTTTATCATCGACGATCAATTAAAGTGGGGTATACACATTGACGCACAATGTAAAAAAATCTCAAAAAATATCGCATTACTAAGAAGAGCCAAGTCCTTTGTTCCTTTACACATTTTAATCAAAATGTATAATGCTCTAGTATCTCCTCACCTGACATATTGCTCAACAATATGGAATGATGGATCTAATACCATTCTTAACAAACTCTCTAAGTTACAAAGAAGAGCAGCTCAGGTTATCACACGACAATCATACGATGTTCGTTCCACTCAAATACTAGAAAGTCTCAATTGGATGCCAATTGAAGACATTTTAAAGAAAAGAGAAATCATTATGACGTTTAAAGCTTTAACTAACAGACTACCTGATTATGTGCAGAATTTCTTCACGAGATGCGAAAATAGTAATTATTCTCTAAGAAGCAATAATGTTAAACTATCTTTGCCTAAACCAAGAACCAACTTTCTTAAAAAAAGTTTCTCTTATAGAGCAGCACAAGGGTGGAACGAATTATCGGATGAAGTAACTAATAACATTCAGGATTTATCTTTACCCAATTTCAAAAGGCGTTTAGCCCTTAAGCTTGCACATGAATAATGTATAATGCATTTCCGAAATTAATGGAGTGTGTAATAATTATGTGCTGTAATTAAATGTAAATATCCATAGTTAATGTGTGTTTAATACTATATAGCACGGCCCTTTGAAAAACAGACTGTATATATTATACTGAATAGGCTACCGTGTTAAAAGAAATTTTATTAAAGATTAAAGATTAAAGAACATCGCCGATCAATGTGAACCAGGCTTAACACATCTTGGGTCGCAATAAGCTTTCACGTTGCTTGAAAGACGTGATAATGCTTAGTTTAACGTTGTGTTGAAAATGACAAAGAATTGAATACGCTTGGGACCACAAATTATTCACAGTTTTTGTCTTGCATGACAAATATATTTCTTTCGCAAGCGCGTCGCAGATCTTCAATTCTCATCTATTTATTCAGGACGACGTCCTAGTTCCAGTCTTCTGCTCAGCCCAGACGTCCTAGCTGACGTCGAATACTCAGGAAGAGGTTATTTCGCTGGCCTCAAAGTGACAAAACGCCTAACAAAGCAATGGTTTTACTAACACTAACCCTATTCCAAACACTAACCCTAACCTAACCCTACTCCAAGTTTGTTTCTAAACTTATCTTGAAGAAGAAAGTTTTCACGAAATGACATTCCGATCTGAGGTCAGCGAAATAACTTCTTCCGAATACTCAACATGCTGAATAATTTTTGGCACGAGTGTGCGCACACGAAAAGCAAACTGCTTACAATATTATGCGAATGCGCATGCATATTCGGCAACCACAACCCTAGATTAGCTGTATAATACGTATAAACGGGATTACAGTAAGGCGCGTTACGACTTAGTGGGCGACTAAAACCATCGGCGCCCAACACTTTTCCTTAATGGGTAAAACCGTTTGGGCGCAAAGCGGCTTGATGGATTAACATCATCGGACGGAAGAAAAGAGCGAGCCGAAAACAAAAAAGTAACTAAGGCTCGTTACTCCGCCACATCGCTCACAGGAAGCTCAATTTAGCCATAAACAGGTGGTTTACATAGATAGCACTATTTTGCGGAATTTTCGAACGTTTTCCTGGAATTTAATTTATTTCAACTAATCCCGTGAATCTTCGACAATGACAGAATTTTCCTAGTTCCGCAATTTTCACCTAATTAAATGCAATCAATATAAAGCTCCTTGCTGAAATAATATTCTGACTGGCACATTCTTTTACAACAACTATCATAACGTTCAAGTAAGCAGCTTCCCCATTGCGACAATTACTTTGTGTACATTGAAGCACATAGAGTCTTACAACGCGTTTTCATATCAGCAGTATTGTCATTTTTGCCATAGAACCTGCTTCCTACCCAGGCGCTATGTTGTTGCTATGGCTCGCGTGACATTTGCGTGGGCCGCGTGGATTATCATGATCGTCATATCCACGCAACGGCATAGCGGGAAACCAAAGCGGTCTGGGATGAAATTCCATACAAGTCGCAAGAAATTAGCACAGAATATCATTGCGATATTAATAGCATAGAATAAAGATCCATATAGAAGGGCCACTTACGTCGGAAGCTTTGAAGTTTCTGTCCTCGCGCATGTCGCATTACGCATCTTGGCCGCCATTTTCCTAGCCAGTCAATGACATTATCTGGCCAATAAACGCGCTGTATTGGCTGGCTGCTCCGCCTTCTGGCCAGTAAACTGCATATTTTTGCATAAAAAAACGAGGACATGTTGCACCGCTGAGTGGCCCTTCTGTTATTGATCTTTATTCTGTGATATAATTATACATAAACAACATACCTGTGGTATCTTTTGTCTGTGTTAATACTCCTTCAATGCTATTCAGTTTTTGGTTCATTTTACTCATTCCATCATTCATTCCACTTGTTTCATATTTCATTTCACGCATTTCATCTATAACCTCGCTTTCAAGAAACAGATAGAAGTCATTTCTCAGACGATTGATTTCTTCACTGAGTTTATCAACTTCCTTTGTAGGAAAATCCGATTCTTTCATGTTGCCAATCCTCTCCAGAGATGTCGTGCTAAAATTCAAAGCGGTGAACGCGTTTTTGGCGTGCTTGACATAGTCATCGAACGTGACTTTATTAATTTGAGGGCCGGATGTATGACAAAGCGAGTTTCGTAAAATTCGAAGCTGGTCAATGGCAAGTGCAATCGTTTCATTTGCATCTCCGCTCGGGCTCCTCACTGCAGAGTGGAATGGAACAGGGGCTGGCTTTCGTCCTTTTAAATACATTTCTCCAAACGTCTTTTTCTTTCCTGTGCTGTCTGGTAGCGCAAAAGTTCTTGCATACAGAGTAGCTTGAAATAGTGCAGTGCAGTCCCACTCTTTAAATGAGTTGTTCGTGGGGATTTTTGTATTTGGAGCTTCATTGTTGTGGAGTATATTGCGTACAAGAGGCGAGTCATCCCAAACTGTGGAACTTGATGCAACTCTGGTGTCCCACATGTCTACAAAGATGCTACGCAAAGCATCTGGGAATTCCTTTAAGACAATCGAAGCAAACTTGAAATAGTTCAGCTCTTCATCAGAATACGGCTGCTTATACATGTTGGCTGACTTTCTGAGTAAAAATGACACAGAAAAAAAGAACATAAAAAAAACTAATAGAAGGAAGAACATCGTGAATTTAAAGAACGTAAGTTAAAAAGTTTACAGTCTACGACGGAATGTTTAGAAACTCCGGTAGGGTTGGGCGATATTTAAAAGATAATATCAATTATCGTCTGGGAAATTACCATGACATTTGATAATATTGCGATAAGTGCACTAAAAACAATGGCCGCATTTTAATTTTGGATAATATACAGTAAAACATATTAATAACATAACAATTAAGCTACATTGCCAACTAATAAGATATATCAGTCTATATTTTATATCCTACTAAGACAAGTAAAGTCTAAAGACCTTGTTTTATTATATGACAATGTCAATGACGTGGTTTTACCAAATAATATCATGAGAACACGGAAAGTCTGAGAGCGAATTGTACGGTAAAAATGCGTATTGCCCTTGTCTAAACAGGTTTTTTCCTGGTTTGGACGAAGCAAAAATCCGACTTTTTTGAGTGAAAAACACAAGGTCAAAGGCGACTCCTGATTCGAATATATAAATGTTAGGAATATACTTAAACAGTTATAAAATAACGCGACAAAACTGCACGATTAAAACAGCAAGCGTGCGAGAAATTTGAGGGTTTTTTTTAATTTGTTGAGCAAAACAGCAGCAAAAAAGCTCAACCTTCTGAGTGTATTTCAAAAACTAGTTTTTAACGAAAACAAATCCTGAAACTTACTTGAACATTTCTGTAGAAATGCGTCCGTTTGGTGGGAATTGGTGCGCCTTAAACTGCATTATTCGCTTGCAGAATCGCCAATTAATTTGAAAAGTATTTTCGAAATTCTTGGTTATAACGATGAAGATTTGAAGAAACATTTTGTTTAGTTACTATTTCTTCACTTAATTCACTTTTTTGACAACTTTTAATCGGCATATTTCAAAATCACCTCAAAACAGTTTTCTTGTTGTGGCACATATTAGATAAACATTTAGTTGGTCAAGAAACGTGATTGACAGGTTTTCTTTGGTAGTGATATTTTATCCAATCAAATTCAAGAACGATGGCGTCAGTGTTAAGGTGTTGCTAAATTGGTATGCAACTTCGGAACCTGTTTTATGATGTTTGTTTTCATTGCATCTGAAAACCTGAAATTATTTGCCGTTTACGGCGCTAAACGCAACTAAACCTTCAAAAAAACCGAAGAAATATATTTTTTTGAGGTTTGTCATTTTACAAAAGTCCTAATGAATGGTTTGACAATCCAGCCGAGTATTTTATTCGTTTTTCGCATTTTTCCTCCCCCTTTCAGGGCTTGGAAAAATACTCGGCCGAATTATATGTCAAACAATTCAATAAGATATATTTATTTCATCGATCATCACATAAACCTTAGCTATATCCACTGCGATAGCGGCAAAGCTGCAAATTTATATCCTCGAGGAAATAAAAGAACTTAGTGAAAACGAAGTACACATGCCAAACAATACGTACGATAGTCGTTGGCCATGACGATCATTATGATGCATGGGATTATAATATGGGGGGGGGGGGGTATTTTAACACGCAGGTTCCGTGACCCTCTTGGGACTGCGTGGACTGTACTAAATCAACAATTTAAGCGTGTGGAAAAGCTTAACTATTTTGATAGTACAAATAGATAGTATTCGACGATTTTTCAAGAAATGTTCACACGCTTCCTGTTCTAAAACGATAATTTTTCATTTGAATTCTGTTTCTTTTCAGATTTTAAATGTTAGAAAACTTTCAATTAATGTCTAAACTACCCGTCTGGTGCATATTTATTTTTTGTTTGTTTCACTTAGTTTAAAGAGGCTGCCAAGTTTCGTTCTGCTCATGCGCGTGTTTTGTTTACATTTTTGTTTTAAACAATAGATAATTGAATTAAAATCCGATCTGTGGGTCTCCAAGTTAGCTCATTATGCATTCAGAATATATCACGAAGGAGAAATTGAGCTACATACTAAGCAAAAATTTAGCCCCATG